GTAGTTAAAGAGAAAAAAACGATTAAATTGAAATTATACTAAAAAAGAAAAAACACTTATTTGAAAATATTTTTTTCAAAAAGAAGAATATGTTTGTAAGCTAGTTTTTCATTCTAATAACCAAATCCAGAATTGGTCCTTAGGAATTGTGAGATGCAGTGCTGTATGTGTCATTTAATAAAAGTGATAAGTTCTGGGACCAGTAGTTTGCTTCTGGACATTATTTGTCTACCGATAAAATTTGGACCTACTTTTTCAGAGGAATATGGTCTCAGAGATTTATAGACATAAACATCAACCCTAATTAATTAGTATTCCAAATCACCAAATTCAACTCAGTATTGACAACAACAACCAAGACCCAAGCACATTAGTATCACAAGCACTTAGATTGTAACAATTTTACAATTAGCTCTTATCCAACAAATTCGTATTAGGTGCTTATAATATTCTTGATATTACCAAGGCTCCAAATAATCAAAATACAAATGAAACAAACACAGCTTGAATCTTTATGCTTCCCATTACTAATTGCAATACAATCAGCAACAATTTCATGTTCACCAATCTGTAAAAACATTGCATATCTTTAACAAGGGTCTTTTCTTTTCCTTTCTTTTCATGTTTCTTCTTTTTTTCTTGTTAAATTTGAGAGTGAAATCCTTAGATTTCTCAAATGAGCAGTCATAATATGTTGGAATTTTAGCCTAGGATTTCTAATCAAAGAACACTCTAATAAAACACCTAAGTCTACTTGTCAATGGCCTTTAAATGAATGGGCTTTCATTTGTTTCATATTTATATGGAGGAAAAGATCTCTTAAATATAAATTCCCTTACATTTTTAAAAAATACATGTTTCTATTGATTTCAGAGAGAAAGGGACAGGGAGAGAGAAATAGGAACATCAATGATGACAGAGAATCATTGATTGCCTGCCTCTTGCATGCCCCCTACTGTGATCAAGCCCGCAATCCAGGCATGTGCCCTTGACCAGAATCAAACCCGGGACCCTTCAATCTGCAGATCAAAGCTATCCACTGAGCCAAACCGACTAGGGTTCTTCTATATTTTTAAGCAAAAAATATGAAAATCTAGCAGTCACAGCAACCAATCCCAGAATAATGCTTACCAAGGTAACTTTTGAGAAACCAACTCTTCCTTACATCATAGATCTAGGCTTTGAATCAGTTTTGCTTCTTTTTTTTAATATATTTTATTGAGTTTTTACAGAGAGGAAGGGAGAGAGATAGAGTTAGAAACATCGATGAGAGAGAAACATCGATCAGCTGCTTCCTGCACATTTTTTTACTGTATATTTCCTTTTCTTTTTGTTAAATTTTCGTTTGCATTTCATGCCCTTTTTGCTTTTAAAGTATTTATTTATAGGTTAAACAGTACAATAGACATGTGTATAAAAAAGGTTAAAACAGGGAATCATTTGGGAGTCTGGAATGGATTAATTCAATTTACATTATTTTTAATGGGAAAAAATGATTCCATTTCAAACAGCCCTTTGGAACAAATTAAGTTGGAGAAACGAGGTTCCACTGTATATATTTTGGGAGAATACCAAATCCTCAATAGGTTAAAAATTTGTCAACAGACAGAAAATATCCTGAAGAACAAGAATGACTGGATGATGTCAATCCTGACTTGACTTTGGAACAAATAATAAATGCAGTTAATGTTTTTGTAAAAAGAACTCTCCCAAGGCCATAAGCACATAGTGAATAAACCATCCAACAAAACCTACAAGATGTTTAGTTGTGTAACAGCCACGCTCTGGCACTGAAACAGTTCTCACCTAGAGGTCAAATTCTCATGGATGTTTTCCAGAAGACTCTAGACTTGGATTCTAGATATAAAAGAACAGAAAGATCTGCAGATTCCTCCTCTTTGTTTGGGGTTTGCAAGTGCCCAGACAAGGCCCAGCTGTGAAGCAATGCAGGCTGCTGTTGAGACTTAGGCCTTCTTTTGGAAGCTTTGACACTCTTTGACCCAGCAGCAGTTTGTTAGGTTTTAGATTGCAAAAGAACAGGCCATTCATGTGCAAAAGCCTCTGCTCACAGCTTGGGTGGGGTTGTAAATTGGGTGGGGTGGGCTCTCAGGTAATCATCAGGGTGGAACAAACCACAATGGCTGCAAATCTGCTCTGCCTGGGAGAGGTCCCAGGGTCTCTGTGTCCCGCAGCCCCGTGCAGGAAGAATGATCACTGCAAGCACCTCTGCGAGAAAGCCGCCCTCTCATTCCTGTCCCGATGCCAGACAGTCCAGTTTCTCCCCATATGAGTCTGAGTCCCCAGAGTCTCGCCCCCCGGAACTGGAGTTCAGAGCAATTGGGAGCTTGTATCTCCCTCCTGATTGAAAAAGACAACAGCGCACCCAGTTGCCAGCCCATTTCACACGCGCCTCCATACCTCCACATTTCCGCACCTACGCACCTCCTACCAGTCTCAATGCACTTTTCTCTTTCCTTCTAGTTGTAGAACTTCCACTCAGCCAGCCTTTCTGTGGTTCTGGATGATATCTGTTCTGTCTTTTAACTGTAGTTTTAATGTGGTTGTGCGAGGCAGCAAGTACAGGTGTTTACCTATGCCGCTATCTTGGTTCCCTCTCAAAGATTCTTTATTGCTATCACTTGATTTCTATATCTCCTCCCTTATCAAGCTATCATAGCTTTTGTTTCTTACAGTTACTGATGGGACAGTGGGAGAGAGGTGTGGTTGTACAGTAGATCTGTATTATGATGGGAGGTTGTTCTTCCCAACTTCAGGTGACAACTATCCTCACTTTACTACATTGCTAACTTTATTTTCTCTTTTCTCTAAGAAAACAAGCCACTCTGGCAGTGCTATGAGAGAGAGAGAGAGAGAGAGAGAGAGAGAGAGGAAACAATCTGTAATACCTACAAGTGTTGTACCTGCAGGAGATATCACATAGGTGGATGAATGAGTTTTAAGTAAAATTTGTTTGAAGAGCAAAGGTGTGAGAAAAATAAAGCTAATACATAATGAAACATATTTTGGGTTGGGATGATTTAGTTTATAATTTGTCAAGAGTCAAGATGATTTAGTTTATAATTCTGTTTTTCTTTCACATTGAGCACACTTTAAAAATGCTTTCTAAATAAAAGCAGCCCACTACCTATTTGTCTGTAAAAGAATCAGCAATGAAAGAACAAAAATAATGGAATGGTGACAGAAATCTGAGTTGTTGCCTCCTCATCTTTGATCACTGATGGGGCTGACACACACAGGACATGGTCTGTCTTTATTATGTACTTATTTGAGTGCTTAGTTGAAATTTGACCCATGATACACCAATGTAAACCCTTGAATTATAAATAAATTATTTCAATATTTGTTCTCTAGGTCAACAAAGTACTGCTAACGAATCCAATTTAAATGTGTGAACAATATTTACAGCTTTTTTACTGGGTCAGGCTTAAGAGATGACTGTGGAAAAGAGGCACGGTATCTATAAAAGTGATCAGGATGAAATAGATGATGTGTGGTAAGAAGTCTGGAGAGGTTTCATTGGGCATTCTAAAGTAAAGACAAACATATTGCCAAATGATGCAAATGAAATATTAGCCAGAAGGTACCTTATTTCCCCATAGAATTAAGTAGAACACAATTACAAACTCGTGCATTTCTAGGCTATAGTTTAAGCCAGTGGTCGGCAAACCGAGGCTCGCGAGCCACATGCGGCTCTTTGGCCCCTTGATTGTGGCTCTTCCACAAAATACCATGTGCAGGCGTGCACGTAGAGGGAACATTGTGGAGTGAAAGAAGATGTAGTGTCGAGGATTGAGAAAGGTATGCTGAGATGGTTTGGACATATAGAGAGGATGAACGAAAGGAGATAGATGAAACAAGTATACAAGACGAATGTGGATGGGAGAGTTGGAAGGGGTTGACCTCAGCAAACCTACCTCAATCAGATTGAGGACGTTTTTTAGCAAAGGCCAGCTTAAGAGTACCCTAAGTAAGTTAATAACAATGTACCTACCTATATAGTTTAAGTTTAAAAAATTTGGCTCTCAAAAGAAATTTCAATCGTTGTACTGTTGATATTTGGCTCTGTTGACTAATGAGTTTGCCGACCACTGCTTTAAGCACATGGATTAGTTTGCTTGTGAAACTGCATTTGTTGCAGTCAAGGGAAACTTATAATACAGACAAATCACTAAAGTTCCGATTTATTTGAATAAGAAGTAGATATAGAGAACAATCTTTGCCTATATATGTACTAATATATGTGTATAGATACAGAGAATGAAAAAAAAATGTAACAATATATCTATTTTATATATAATCATTTAGACTTTTTTTTAATTTGGAATATCTACAACATCAATTAATTCAGAGGGTTAGTACTTGCCTGAATTCTGTTAACTTTTCACTCTGACTGGATAGGCTCATATAATTCCTCTAAAAATATTGTTTTTAAATCTTTTTTAATTTCTCTTGGTATTTATGATTGGAAGTAATTGATAATTTAGATTTTCTCATGGAGCAAAATATATATGAAAGACCTCAAGAAATGATTCTATAGGTGTAATTATTTTAAAATATAGATGGAAAAGATTATTTTTTACAGAATCTGATGTAATCCTTGGGAGGAATTGAAGTTATTTATTTGTGTGTTTGTTTATTTTTGTTAATCCTCACCCAAGGATATTTTTCCATTGATTTTTAGAGTGGAGAGGAGGGAGAGAGACAGAGAGAAACGTTGATGTGAGAGAGACACATTAATTGGTTGTCCTGCATAAGCCCCAACCAGGGCTGGGTATTGAGCCTGCTACCTGGGTACGTGCCCTTGACCAGAATCGAACCCCTGATACTTCAGGGATATTCTATGCACTGAACCAAACTGGGTATTATTTATTATCCTTCTTGAAGTTAATCTTATTTATTGTTTGCACTGGATTAGCAATGCCAAATGGAAGAATATGAATTAATTGAATAAGCATTTTATACATTTTCTTCTGTTCCAGTTGACTTATCATTAGTGAATAAGGATGAAAACGCCATCTATTTTTTGGGAAATTCTCTTGGCCTTCAACCAAAAATGGTTAAAACATATCTGGAAGAAGAACTAGATAAGTGGGCCAAAATGTAAGTATTTTTTTTCAAAAGTTGTCATTCAGTATCTCACAGAAGAATTTAAAAAATCACACTAGATTGTTTAATGTTTGGAAAGGTGTTTAATAGCATTTTAGCGTAGAAAGGAAGCTTAGTGATCATGTCATTTGATACTGTCATTTTATTGATGAAATAACTGAGGATCAGCAAATAAGGTCGCAGGGCAAGTTACTGGCAGACTCAAGAGTGAAATTTTAAAAATATTAAAAAATTTAAATCCCTTTCCTGAGTTGTCACATTTAAAACATATGTAATTTTTTTTTTTCTTAACTAGAGGCCTGGTGCACGAATTCGTGTACTGGTGGGGTCCAGCCGGCCCACCTCATAGGGACCATCGGGGGCAGGCCGGCTGAGGTGAAGGGCCGCGGGTGGTTTGCTGGCCAGCTCCAATCAGGGATGGGGGTGCCCACTCGGAGGCAGGGCCGGCCGGGGTGAGGGGCCATGAGCATTCTGTTCCACCGTTCAGTCAATTTGCATATTACCCTTTAATTATATAGGATGACTAACAAGGGAGTTAACATTTGGGATTTAATTTAGTAATTTTATGATTAGTTCTTGGCTAACCTCTATCACAGTAATTTTTATAAATAAGGAAATAAAAATTGTTGGGAAGATTAGGTTAAGTAGAGCAGAAGGCACTTTCCTCCCCAAACTGAACACGATTATTAAGAAGATGCTCCTCTTGGGCTGAGCTCAGCAGCTTCCCTGCTACCATGCAGGGGTCTTAAATCAGGATCTCTTCCCTCCATTGCTCTGTTCTACTTTTACTTTTCTGCCTATGAAACTTTTCACACATTCTGTTTACCTGAATGCTTATCCTCTTTAATCCCAACCTTCTCAAACATACTGATTTTCCCTCCTGAAAATCCATTGCATTAATAGGCAGTTTAAGGATATCTATTTTCATCAGTTTCATATGCTCAGCGATATTATAAATCCCTAACCTTATCCACTTCTTATAGGTCCCCCGTGTTAGGTCTGATCGAACAACTGAATCCAAATAATTGAATTGATACCCCTCCCCCTCCGGGAACTGCCTTTAGACTACTTCACAACTGACATTCCCTTTCACTTAGACCACATTCCACTTGCTAAGACCATTATTTTTCTCCTCCAGACCCACCCAGAGAATTCTCTGCCCAGAAAAAGCCCGCCTAGAATCTTTAAAATCTCTGACTCCCTGTACCTAGGTGCTGGTGCCATTTGGGGGCTCATCCCATCTGGTTTCCCGGATGACCTAATACATTCATTTCTTTACCCCTTTCGGCCTTGTGCATTCCTCCTCCGGTGATCCTAACACCCGGTAACTACTGATAAAGCTGAAACTAGAAATGTCTTCAAAATGTTTTTAACTATTTAAAAATGTTATATTATTTAAAGTTATTTACATATTTAAAATATTAAAAATTACTAGAAATATTTTTAAAACATTTTCTGATTCTTAGAATCTAATAAAGTAGTTATGAAGAGGGAGCCAAGCTTGAAGGTTAGAAACAAACAATTCAGGAGGATGAAACCAAGCCATGTAAGAACTCGAAAGGCAAGACATTTGGCTCTTATAGAAACTCAGTGTCTGCTCCATCTTCCTTTATTTTCTATGTCTTTGGTCTTTCACATTGGGAATAGTATCTGTCCTGTAAAGTTAGTTTACACTGAGTGCAAATGATCACTTCCACAACTATTGGAGAACACTGCAAAGTTCTTAATTTTAGTGGTTAGAAATATAAATTCACAACTTATTGCAAAAAATTACAAGGTTTATATAATTTATTAAGCATGTTATAACTTTATCTGCATAATCTTTATGTACACATTGGAAAATACATATCACTACATTTAGAAGCATTTTGCATTAGCAGGTTTTAGTATTTTAAAAATGAGGGTCAGAGTTAATAAAAATGATTAATATTCATTTTTGGCTTTAATGTAAAAGAGAGCAGAGAATTAAATTGAATGAATTTGAACTTCAGAGGATGTCCTTGCCTCTTGGATAGTCAATCAGCTAGGCTGTGCATTTTTATCCTCAAGGCATTTTAAAAAATGCTGTCTTGCTATCCTATTCATATCCTCATGATTATCATACTTCATTAAGGGACTGGTTGGTTATTTTCAAGACTTTGAAGTTATATTTCAGGAAAGTGTCTCTGCATAATACTTACCCTTCTATTGTTACCTTTTAACTTTACATTTTACCCCATGACAATAGAATATTACATAACCTTAAAACCTCTTATCTAATTTTCATTAGATGATTCAGAAAGGAGGTACATTTTAATGCTTCAAGCAATTCAAACTAAATAAAAAAAATATTTCTTCTGAGCAAAAGATTAGATAGCTAGTTTGTTTTGTCTTTGCTTTATTTAGGTATTTTTGCTTTAAGTGGAGGTGGCCACGTGAACACCATGGTTCTGCCTGCCCACGGATGTTGGTTGGGTAGTGTTTGAGGTGCAGGATTGCACTCCTGTGTCCTCCTACCCCACTCCCCAACTTCAATTTCAAAAGGGTTCGTTATTTCTTTGCTCCTAAATATTTAGTTTAAAATCCCATGCTGAGGTCCTGTTGGGAGCAAAGCTTTTCATTGGGGGCCTCTTGATTAGTGAACAGCCTCCAGATTAACTGGAGAAAAGTGTATCTCACATGCTCACAGAAGCACTGTCCGAGGAGTGATTCCCTGAGCAGCCAGGAGTACAGCTTATACACCAGATGAGCAAAAGGACATAGTTTTGGGGCTTCGTGGGAAAGCAGGGAAGGCTCCGCAGGCCTTTTTCCTCCTGATGATAATGTGCAGTGCCCTTCCTAGCTAGGAGCTCCTCAAGAGGGAGATTGATGGGAACTGAATTTGCACCCCCGCCCTGGGCAGTGCCACCCTCTCTATGAGGGGTTCAATGGCAGCTGTATTTTGGGGAGGCTCTGCTTAAGTCTAGATACTGTTTCTTTACTTGACTATTATTTGTTCACATGCTTCGGTTTAAAGTAATCTCCATGCCACTCCAGTGGGTTGTTGTACATTGAAGTTGCTTAACAGGAAAAAATAATATTAACAATTTATAATCTTAATGGTAACATAAAAATGAGAGTGCTTTCACTGAAATATTGCTCTGGGATAATGAGATCAAGTCTTTGACTGGCCATCCATGACCTGTAAGGTAGGAAATGCCATTTGGCTCATGGTCGTCATTTTCCATGACTTCATCTTTTATGGCCTATTACAGACATACTACCTACCTAGCTACAAAATAAACCATCACTGGTCATAATGTAGCCTGATCTTATAATTTATATGGTATTGTCTTTGATTCTTATGCTAAGGAAAGGTCAAGAATAGAAGCATCCTTGAAATATTTCAGGATCCAGCTGATTTCTTCTAAAACTTCCAGATATTCAAGACAAAACTGAAAATAAACTACTTACCTTTTGTTTTTTTTAATTCTTATTATTGTTATTTCCCAATATCATTTTCAACTTTGCAATTTCTAAATTAGAATAATAACATTTACTTTGGAGAATGCATTTGTTTTGTGAAGTGACAATCTATACTAATAAAAGGGTAATATGCTAATTAGACCAGATGACCTAACATCTTCTGAACATCTGACTTCCTTCCAGACAAAGCCACAGTGGCAGGGGCTGAGGCAGAGGCAGTTAGGGGTGATCAGGCCGACACAGGGGAGCAAGCAGTTAGGGGGGAATCAGGCCAGCAGGGGAAAGCAGTTAGGGGGTGATCAGGCCAGCAAGGGAATGCAGTTAGAGGTGATCAGGCAGGCAGGCAGGCAGGTGAGCGGTTAGGAGCCAGCAGTCCCAGATTGTGAGAAGGATGTCCGACTGCCGGTTTAGCAGTCGAACATCCCCCGAGGGGTCCCAGATTGGAGAGGGTGCAGGCCAGGCTGAGGGACACCTCCCCACGCCCCTGCAGTGCATGAATTTCGTGCACTGGGCCTCTGCACAAAATTTGTGCACGGAGGGGAGGGAGTCCCTCAACCTGGGGGGGGAGTGCCCTCTCTCAGTTCAGGAGCCATCAGTCAGACATCCTTAGTGCTGCCATGCCAGCCGTGAGCCTTGGCTTCTGGCTGAGCAGCACCCCCTCTGTAGGAGCACACTGACCACCAGGGGGCAGCTCCTACATTGAGCATCTGCCCCCTGGTGGTCAGTGCACATCATAGCGACCCGTTGTCCTGCTGTTCGGTCAATTTGCATATTAGCCTTTTATTATATAGGATTCCAAAATAGAAAACATTTAGGGTGATTTGACCCATTTGATATATAATTATTATCAGCAAAATGGACTTATAACAGTAAGAACCAATAAGATCAATATGTTTGGACCCTGTTGGTCTGCTAAAATGGATAGTCAATAAGCTTAAAGAATTTTTAGAACATTTTATATTAAATATTTACTAATGGCCTAGATTATTTAAAGGAGAATAGTAGGGGATAATAATCATAGTGGTAAAGTTCAGCTAGAAGGGAACCAACAATCGGTTGCTTTCTGTATGAATTGAACCCACAAACTTTGGGTGTATGGGACAAGGCTCCAACCATCTGAGCCACCCAGCCAGGATCAAACCTGTAGAGAATTTTTATGAGCCAAATTGGCAACAGTTGCTGGGAAGCAAAATCTCAAAGGATTGAGAAAATGGTCTAGGGAATGGCAGTTTTGCACCTTCATTTATGCATTAAAATTAAAGGAGGATGTGTAAGGGGGTTACATGAAATTTATTGGTGGTAGACTAGGGAGGCAGGAGAAAGCAAAGTGGGGAAATCTCTTAGACTAGATAAAAAGTAAAATGGATAGACATCTTTTCCTTTTATATTTGCAGGTATAGGATAGTTAACCCTGAGATGGTATATGGAGAACAAGATAATAATGAGGGGTTTCTTGGTCTTGTACCCTGGTGGGAGATTGTGTCCTGAGGGGTCTGAAGAAAACTGGGGGTTACTCTGACATTCTAACGGTATGCTATCATAGATGCAAAAAGACAATAGACAGGCTTCATTAAAGATGGGCCTTTGTCCAGAAAGATACCGGCTTAGGACATGACTAACTGCTGTGACTAGCTTTTAGTTCAGAAATTTTAACTTCAGACATGCTGATATAATCACTTTGGGCCTTTGTAAGACCACCATGCAGGCCTCCCCTGAGCTTGTCAGGTTTTTTCATGCACAACCCCAAAAAGCGATGCAGCCCTGGCCAGAGTTGGTTAGAGCATTGTCCCAATATACCAAGGTGTGGGTTTGATCCCCAGTCAGAGCACATGTAAGAATCAACCAATGTGCCAAAACCGGTTTGGCTCAGTGGATAGAGCGTCGGCCTGTGGACTGAAAGGTCCCAGGTTCGATTCCGGTCAAGGGCATGTACCTTGGTTGCGGGCACATCCCCAGTGGGGGGTGTGCAGGAGGCAGTGGATCGATGTTTCTCTCTCATTGATGTTTCTAACTCTCTATCCCTCTCCCTTCCTCTCTGTAAAAAATAAATAAAATATATATATATAAAAAAAGAATCAACCAATGAATGCATAAGTAAGTGGGACAACAAAACCACCTCTCTCGCTCACTCTATTTTTTTTAAAAATCAATAAAAAAAATAAAAAAGCGATGCAATTAGAGAACTTATATATTATCTTAAGAGGGGGAAAGTGGGGAGATATAGGCCACATTGGGGAGAGTAAATAATTTTTAGAAAAGACAAATGAGCCCTTGGAAGAATAGATGGGAGGTGTGATAGTTTGTGACCGTTTTTCTAGGTGTGGTGTTGACTTCTACTCTCTGTCCTGTGACAAAAACTCCTGGGAGGGGATTTATGGCAGTTGAGTTTCTTTTGGAAGATCTGTTTTCAGGCAGGTTAAGGGGAGTTCAGAGACAGCCTCTCCATGCACTTGCTGTTTTTCAAGTGCCTTCAGCTCAAAGGAATCGCATGCCAAAGAGGAAAATTTTAGTGTGGTGTAATCTGCCAGCCTTCAGGATGAATAAGAGAGTACATAGTGCAACATGTTACAAAGATTTCCTGATTTCAGTGTTAGTGATCAGCAATTGGGTCACAGGGGAACAAAGATTTGTGATATCATGAAGACTGCAAATTCATATTTATTGAGGGGAGAGCTTTTCAAAGCAGGGCCATTTTTCATTTTGCAGGATAATTAAAGCATAGTCCTATTTCAAAGAGGGTCTACATATCTATTAAGATCCTAATTATATTTTATATCCTGAGATCTAATTTCATGAGCAAATATTGCTTCATGTACATCTCACAGAATACCCCGTTCATGCCAGCGGAGGAAATGTCAGGGGAGGGTCCAAACCGAATGACCAGCAATATGAAAGGTCAGGGTGCTGTAGACACTTGAAACACCAGAAAAAGGTGTTTGGACAGCCCCTGGAGGCGAAGGGAAGGGAAAGGGCTGTACCCTGTTCTTGTCATGCTGATGAGAAAGAATTCAAAACGAGTGACCCCCTGAGGGTGGCATTGTAGTAAAGCAAATTTATTACAGAAATAAAGCAAGTAAATTTATTAAAGAAGAAAAGCAAGAAAATCTATCAAAATACGTCTGGTTTATGAAGCACAGACAGACTTCCCAACTAGTTTGAGAAGCGCTGCCTGGTAGAGGTTTGGCTTTTTATATTTTTCTGTCTATAGGTTTTTAAATTCCTCTGCCGGATATCTTGGTACAGACTAGATCTCAAAGTCTCCCTTTTACTTTGTTTATGGCTTCTCAGAATTTATGAGAAGTGTTTGGTGAATTGATCTTGACAAGCTCTGAGACTGCTGGCTTCTCTGTTTAAACGTCCCCAAATGGCTGACTTCTTTGTTTAGTGGGTGAGATAAACTCTCCCTTCTCGCCTTCCCCCCCACCCCCCTCCTGCCTTGGCAGTTCCAGGGTGATTTATGCTATGTATTCTCTGGTTAGGGATAGGAGGCGTTAAAACTCCCCCTCTTTTCCTTCAATCTTTGGTTAGTGAGGAGAGGTATTAGCCATTTGTTGTCAAGATAAGGTTTTGCTGCAAACTGGCTGCAAGCTGCCCAAACTGTTTGGCCTTGTTTCATTTTCTTGTGTCAGTGTCCCTATTCCTCTTGGTTAGGAGCGTTCCTAGCTTCTTACTACCCTGTTACAGGGGGTCTACACTGCAGGACCAGCAATATGCTATGCTTAGGGAAGAAAGGTCACCCTAGGGCCTTTGCCCCTTGCTAGCTACCCAGGTCTTTCCAACAGGTCTTTCCAACAGGTGACTTCAGTACCTGGCCCATTGTTCCTAATCTGCTCATGCCTGTCTAACTGCCTCCTACACTGGCATTCTCTCTTCCTTTCCAGCATTTGTAAATGAAGATTGCAACTATGCTGCAACTATTTTAAACAGTTTTGAATGAGAGCAATATAATATTTTTCTTAACTTTAATAGAATGTTTATAACTGCACTGTAATCTACATCAATTCTTCCTAATGACAGACCACTTTGCTTTGAGTTTATTTGGGTAACACTTTCTAAGTACATTTTTACTACCCCAGGCTAGTGGCCTGACAAAATGAAGAAGTAGACTCTGTGTATGATATTTTAAAGGGACGGAGATGCCAAAAGCATTTCAGGGAGAAACATATCCTTAAAGATTATTACCCCTACCACAGTGTCTACCGGAGTGAGAAGTAGGTGGCATAATATTCTGAGTTATAAATTCTCTGAGGCAGAACATAGAATTTTACTACCTAAATGTAATAAGATGCATTGTGCTATCAGTGAAGGCCATGGAGCTCTGTGTGATTAAAATAAAAAAGGATCCAAGTATCTGCCTTTAACTACCATTTAATGATAATGATTTTTGTCTTTAGCATTTATATTGGGAGTCGGTAGAGCCAAGCTGCAGGCTATCTAATAATAATATGAATAATAATAACTAACAATTGCCCTTCTCTTCCTCCTTAGATCTTATAGTTTATGTTTATTTCCAAAGGAAGTCCTCTTCCTTCATCTCAGTTAATATGGTAATTGAAATATTAGTTTTAAAATTGTGTTGTACACCACATGCCCTGTGAAAGGAGTTTTAGCATTAGATTTACATTAGAAAAGAAGACTTAGAAAAGGGCTACTGTGTACCAGTCTTTTTTGCTTGTTATTTTTATTTATTTTTCATGGCAATCCTTTAAGATATATATTATCATCCATCTACTTTTACAAAGATGGGAAATTAAGCCCCATAAGCTTCTAAAAATATAGTCTCTTAACTAGCAGTGACCTAGAACTGGCTCAGACCAGGTGATAAAAACCCATTGTTAAATTTTCAGGATTTTTGTTGATACCCTGAAGTCAGCTACTAGTACACTGGGGGTATTCACACCACGAAAATTCGAAAAAGTTAAAAAACAGGATTCCTCTTCTTCAGTTTGTCCACTGTTCTTGAGGGAAGACAGATTAACAAAATAAAAACAAACAAATTTTTTACATGTATTTCTCATGAGAATCTGAGGTACCCAGGGAAAAGTGAGTAACTCCCCAAGGTGACTTAGAATTCAGGCTTAAATCCCATCTTAATATGGAAAGGGGAGGGGGAGAGTAAATGATTTTTAGGAAAGATGAATGGGTCTGTGAATAATAGATGGGAGGTATGAAGTTTGCGACAGTTTGTCTGGGTGTGGTTTTGACTTCTAATCTCTTCTGTGACAAGAGTCAGTCTTCCCTGGTTGATGAAATTCATAAAGAGAGAATTTATGGAAATTTATGGAAGAAGACTTTTCTAAGTCTTCTTTTCTAATGTAAATCCTCCTTCTTTTGGAGGACTTATCTTTAGGCAGATAGGAAAGTTTAGAGACAGCGTCTCCCTGAAATTGATGTTTTTCTGGTGCCTACAACTCAAGATAATATACCACAGAGATATTTGGGGGAAGCATATTCTACTACCCTTCACTTCTGAGAACAGGTTTACCCAATGACCACTGCCAGCTTACGGAATTTCATTCATAGTCTACACTATACAAAAAAACCACATGGTTATTCTTTTTCCCAAGTTTACATAGTTTGTGAATTTATAAAAATTAAGAGCAGTTGAATTAGGAAATACAAGTTTGGAACACCACTCCCACCCCTCCTCCACTCCCCTTCCCAACCTTGACCCTTTGTTTTAATTTTTTCTATATTTTTTCACGTGTATTTTTTGCCTTCCTCATTTGATGAAAACTTTTTGAGAGCTGAAGTTCTCTTTTGTATGTTTTTGTTTGTGCATTATACCTACAGAGAGACTTACTGGAATGATGAAATTAAGTTGAAATATGATAGAATACATTTCTAGAAATAGGTCAAGATGTAATATTGGCTTTGATTATTGCCAAGTTTCATTCTTGAAACTTGAGTATAGTTATACTTTATACACTTCCATTTAATTTATAGATTATAGCTACATTTTATAGTTGGCTTTTATAATAATTTTAGTCTTTAGCTTCAAAAAGTAGGTAGGTTTTAATATAGATACTGCATATGCTATAGGTATACAAGTAGAGTAGTGCTAAAATTCTCAAAAAAAAGTATCTTAGATTTAAAAAAAAAAAGTAATGAAATAGTCTATGGGCAATTTCTTCTACCCCCACCCCCAAGAAAAAGTAAATCAAAGAAATTTTTAAGTAAGTTAAAAAACATTTCTCAAGTATTACTTTGGTTTTAGAAAGCATGACTTCATATAATTATTAGAATATTACAAAACTCATTTAGACTTGTTCCGTTGCTAATGTTGATGTTTGAAAAATCACACACACACACACACACACACACACAAGCTAAGAATGTTTATGTCCCTTTTTAATTTCAGGGGAGCCTATGGTCATGACATAGGGAAACGACCTTGGATCACAGGAGATGAGACTATTGCAGGTCTTATGACTGACATTGTTGGTAAGTACAAAATAATTGTTTTCCAAAAGATTTATAAAGACCTTATTATTTAATTATAAACAGATTATAAAGACAACATCTTATTAAAGAACATCCTGATTTTCCATTTTAATTCATAACGGTAAAGAGCAAGCATAATTTAATTGAGAATTGATTGCTATAGAGAATATAACTAGGTTATTTGGTACAGAAATAAAAAGTTATTATTTTTTCTTGTATATATTAAAACTAATATTTACTCCCCAGTGAGAAACACATGCACTGCATTAATTTATAATTAAACAAATTTTATAAAGATCAACTTAAATGAAATCTCTAAGATTTCATTATATGGTAAAATAAACACTAACCTTTATATGCTAGAGGCCTAAAACACCAATCAGTTTTGGGCTCATTTTAATTTAATCAATGGTGATTTGTTTAACATTAGACTGAGTATTGTTGAAAATAATATGGTTTATGCTATTTTGGGGGTCTATAATGTGTTTCCTAAAGTGAGTTATGTGCAGTGTTAGTGGTATTCAAGATAGTTTTAAATGGTAAATATATTTGAAAAATAGTTATTTAACTGGGTTCAATATTCAGTATTGCCTGAGATTTTATATGAAATTTAGTGCATTAAACAAAAAATAAAATGTAAGCAATTTGAATGGTGTTATTTGGAAATATATGGAGAATTTAGGAAAACCTCAACTTTCAAAAGGTTTTTTTAAACCTACGCTCTCTTATAGGCAAGTATACAAATATCTGTGTTTCACTCCAGTTGTATCTTGGCCAATAATTAGAAGATAAAATCAACTTGAGGTGGGGCAAAAATGGAATTAGAGTGGGGAAAGCTGGGTGGAAAAAGCAAAATAAGAAAATGTATTTTCTCACAGTGCGAGAACCAAGTCCGGCTCTGGTTTTGTTGCCCGAAGTGAGATGGCACCAGGTGTTGGCCTGGAAGGATCCGATTGGACTTGGGTTCCAGCCTCAGTACCTGGGTTCTGGCTAGGAAAGAATTCAGAGCCAAGAACATTTATTTGGAAAATCACAGAGGTAGAAGAAGTAATTCATAGAAAAAATGGCCTTAGAAAATAAGCTATAGAGGCAAAGGAAGGGCTCTTGGAGCTTGAAAGTGATGAAGAGAGAGGGGAAAGACACTGGGGTGCTCCCAGGAGGGAGAGCTCTCTAGTCCTTCCTCCTAAGGCAGCGGTTCTCAACCTGTGGGTCACGACCCCTTTGGCAGTCGAACGACCCTTTCACAGGGGTCGCCTAAGACCATCCTGCATATCAGATACTTACATGACGATTCATAACAGTAGCAACATTATAGTTATGAAGTAGCAACAAAATAATTTTATGGTTGGGTCACAACATGAGGAACTGTATTTAAAGGGCCAGAAGGTTGAGAACCACTGTAGGGTTTTAAGGGTGGAGATTTTAGAGGAGTTTCAGGGGATGGATGATCTCAATAGAATATACAGCACCTTTCCAGGTGTGTCTTTTCAGGGTCTAGGTCACAGTGATGGCGAACCTTTTGAGCTCGGCGTGTCAGCATTTTGAAAAACCCTACCTTAACTCTGGTGCCGTGTCACATATAGAAATTTTTTGATATTTGCAACCATAGTAAAACAAAGACTTATATTTTTGATATTTATTTTATATATTTAAATGCCATTTAACAAAGAAAAATCAACCAAAACAATGAGTTCGCGTGTCACCTCTGACAGGCGTGTCATAGGTTCGCCATCACTGGGCTAGGACTCTACTGATTGATTGGTCAGCACCAGGGCAGGGAGTCATTATTCAATGCAGCTGGTTCTGAGGTCAGCCCTGGGGTCTCCTGCCTGGTTTTGCTGCTTTCTTTGGCCTGGAGCTGAAATACAACTGAGGCCTAGATGTTATCTCTAGGGAGGAAATGTCAGGGGGTCCAAACCTCTTAAGCAGCCATAGGCTAGGGGAGGGAAAGTCACCCTGGGGGCAAGGTCCCCCCTACAACTGATTGCTCCTTATTGGGCACCTGGACTTTCCACCCTGGTGACCTTCTTTCTGTACCTGGCCCATCAGCCTACCACGGTAACGTTAAAAAATAAAATTGAAATAAGTACAAACCAGAAATATAGCCATTGCTGAAAAAGGAGCAAGTCGAAAGAAAGCCTTCTAGAAGGGCAGTATTTTTGGCAGCAGCCATGGAGTCAGGAAGACATGCAGGGTGTGAAGCCAGGACTATTGCAGGAAGCCCCAGGTGAATCTTCACAGCCTTGGATGCCTGGGGCTGGGACTGAAGCCAGGATTTTTATCAGCCAGGTAGATGGTCAGTTGAATTCTTGGGAACACAGCACTTGATCAGCTGTCAGCATTATTTAGGCAGTGGTTCTCAACCTTCCTAATGCCGCGACCCTTTAATACAGTTCCTCATGTTGTGGTGACCCCCAATTTCATTGTTACAAATTGAACATAATTAAAGCATAGTAATTAATCACAAAAACAATATGTAATTATATATGTGTTTTCCGATGGTCTTAAGGGACGCCTGTGAAAGGGTCATTCAATCCCCAAAGGGGTTGCAACCCACAGGTTGAGAACCACTGATTTAGAGGATTGTGTATTCTAATGTAGGAAATTACCTCCCAAACACAATCCTGTATTGTGTTTAAAGATTTGTTAAGTAGTTGTTCAATGATACTTTCATTTTTGTTCATTTTTTTAGAAGCCACTTACTAGTATATTCAGAAAAATGCCTAACATGCAAATAAAAAAACGAAAATAGCCTCTGGATTAATTTGACCTGAGAATATATGTTTTCCTTAGGTGTGGATATTTTTATTTTTTTATTTTCTTTCCTAGGTTTGCTTTCAGAATATAAATTTCATTCTAATCCTATTATTTTTGTGCTCAATATTTATCATTCTCTAAAGAGGAGTTAGGATGTTTATATCTAGTCCAGGAAAGTGGTAAGGTGATATTATTTAGATTTATTTATAAAGCCAATAAGCCTTGCAAAAAGATGTCCTTTGAGCACTTAAAAGTCTATAGCTCTGTTGCTACTTATTAAATGCCCATGTTGTTGTTGTTGACCAGTAAATAAACATACCTCACAATAATCCCTGAAATTTCTAAACAGCCACATCTCATTATCATTTTTAAGGAAAATGAAAAAAAAATTGTTTAGAAGGGTTAAAAGACTGAATTTATTTAATCTTTTAAAAAATATTTATTAACTCTAACCTGAGGAATGGGCAGCACCAGGCTGGCCAAGGCGGGTGTCATTGGGGGTCCCCCAGTTGCCCCACTGGTCGCCCCACAGGGCCAGGCTTAGGGACCCTACCCATGCAAGAATTTCATGCACCCGGTCTCTAGTTATTAATAACAAATTACAACATTCGCTAATGACTGAGTACTATAATCGTGATGCATTCATTTCCCTTAGCACCTTACTCACAGGCACACCATTTCTCTCCACTAACACTAGCAGTGAATATTTTAGCAGCCGATTGTCACGTCATTAGTCTTGGACTGATTTGTTTGGTGTGTGCAACAGGAAATATTTCACTTTTGGAGAACAAGAAAATTAGGTTTATTTGCATTATACTTATTAATTTGTGCAGTTATTCAGTGTCTGGTAAGTTAGTGTTCCAGAAAAATATTAATTTTTATTAAAATGTTCTATTATTTTATGTTAATGATTACTCATTTATTTGAGCCCTTTGTATTCAGCATGTCTCTATTGAAATAAACCAAACCCATGTTTCTATGAAAATTGAAGCTTTTGTTTTTTTGCAGCCCACATAAACTTTAAAAACTTGTTTATCTGGCCCGTGTTAGTCTTTGAGTTTGACATGCTTGCTTTAGTAGAAACACATTCTTTGGAAGGTATTTATGTGTGTTTATCTTATTTGCTGTGTGTTTATCTTGTTGCAAGTCCCATGCAGGTTCCTTTTTTAGGAACTAGAAAGTTCCTTTCTCGGTTACTAGAAAGTTCTGAGAATATTTGGTAAAGTTTGACGTAACAAAAATATTTAATGGCTTCTAATTTGTTTTTTATCTTCATATATTTTATTCTATATCTACTTTTTATCAATTTTCCTCACATTGTAATACTAGAAACCTGGAATCCTCTTTGGAAGCAGAGGTGGTTAAATAACAAAATATTTAAAACAACAGTGTGGTAACTACAGTAAAGAGTAGCAGAAGTCAAATTTACTTTTGCTACTTGCTAGGCTATTTAGTATGTCTGAGCAAACAGGCAAGTTGTATATTTTGGCTTATGATTGACTCTTCATGGTTCTTAAAACCTTTAATTTCATCATAAAATATCTCAAAAAGAAGTAACAGGAGGATAATAAAATTATTATGTTGTACAATTTGATAGAGTGGATAGAGAGGAGGAAGAGACAATGAGTAATGATATTTATTCATAGACATAGAAAAGAATATCAATTTCAGATGAGAAGAAAAACTATTACTAAAACACTTTATAGAGAGCCTACAACTCTGCAAAATATGGGATAACTTTCTCTTGTAATTAATATCATGTTACCAAGATGCTAGAGATAGCATTGCTGAAGAATATTATTAGTATTATTATTAAGCCTATTTCTCCCTGGGTACATAAAAACCACAAAGGGTTAGCTACAAGCATTTCAGCTTATAAAGCTGTTGTAATGTGAACGTCAATTTGCTTTATGAACTCTGCGGTTGACCCTCAGAAAAGCAATAATCCCTGGAAGCCCTCTACAGAGTTGGAATGCTCAGCCATGCACGAGCCACCACTAGAGGCCAAAGGAATTGGCTATTTGAAAAATAGACTGGAAAGTTCTCAAACTTCTCCCAAGCACAAATCTTGCAACCAGATCCACAATAATATTAGCTTCTAGTTAATAAAATATACAGAAAGGGATATGGCAGTTGCAGAACCCATCCTGAATCGTGTTATCAAACATTAAGCAGCTGGGAGGCGTGACATCCTCATGTTGCAAATTAATTGAAATTAAATTACACTTAGAAAGATGCAGAGGGAAGTCTGTGATGAATGTGGGCTTCCTCTAGTTCACTTACAGGGTTTAAATAATGTAGAAATCTCTTCAAAATGTAACCGTGAACAGAGATTTTAATTATTTTTGTATGGAGAGAAAGTTTTTGTCTTCTATTTCCTATCTGTGAGACTTTAGGCAAGTTAGTTTATCTCTTTGGACATTCCTTTCCTCATTGATAAGGTATGGAAATTCAAAGTAGATAACCTTATCAGGTAACTGTGAAGAATAAGTGATTTGCATAACACGTCACATATTTAGAAGTGTTGGCACATAGTAAGGGCTCAATAAACTTTTGCTTGCCAGGCATGGAAATAAGAAGGCAGAGCTTACATTGAACTAGGTTTCACTTCCTGGTAAAGCAAAAAATTATGTTCAATAAATAAACAAGCAGGAAATCACTTTTCAAATGAGAGTCCTGGCTCACACCCATCTCAGGTGAAGTGATTCACATCTTGACATTTACTGCAGTGAGCTGTAGATGATCTTCAAAGTAAAGGATCTTTCGAAGACTGATAAACGTTTGGGAAGCTTTTAAAAAGATTTTCCTTCAATACTTGTAGTTCTTGAAATTGCAGCATTAATTTTTTAAAAAGCTCAGGAAAAAGAAGAGAAACAAAGAAAAGCAACTTGGAAAAATTTCAGTTTCTTTTTTTAAAGGTTTATTTTCTTACAGGATGCTGATGACATTTAAATATATTAGGAGAAAGGTGGTTTCAGAAATACAATTTGAACTAAAAAAGATATGTCATTAGGTAACTTTTCTTTTTAAAATACACTAAAAATCTTTGGCCCTTTGATGTTAAGAGCACTGCATTCTTTAGTGCCTTTAGGTTACTCTTGGAATAAACATTTCTATTAGTGTTCAGAAACTTTAATATTGACACCACCTTCAGATATATATGTGCACAGATGTATGTGTGTTAGACCAACCCTGTCCTTGATTAACTTTAGTAGCAGGTGAGGAGAGTATTTTGTGAAACACTTGATTGACTTGAATTTAAAACGTTCCAAGGAGAATAATTCCCATGTGTGCACAAAGTATTCGTGTCATGAGGGATTCTTTACAAAGAATTGATTCAGTGTTAGCATGTCATTGAATGTGAGGGAAGGAAGCACAATGTGCAGTGTATGTCTAGAATGCATCCCAGCATATCTGGTTCATCACATTCCCAGGCAAGAAAAATTTTAGCTGATCTCAAATGACCACTGCCTTGTTTGGAGGAGTAAAATTTCCAGGAATTTATAATCATTTTAATCAGAATGTAATCATTAAGCAAAAATGGAATGTCTGAGCGTCTATAGAAATTCTCCCCTGCCCCATCCTGACTCTTCTATATCTCTATTTTTCATTTTGTGTTTTCTTTTTTGTGTGCTTTCTTCTCATTAGAGTGCATTCTTTCAAATACATCCCTTTCGGTTAATTCTGCTGTCTCTTTATATTACTATCCCTTCCTTTCCTCCTTCCACTCTCCCTGCCAACATATTTTTTTACTGAAATAAATGGTTTTCAGAAAAGATGCATGCAAATAGCTAACAGGGAGTTAAGGATAATACCAGATTATGTATCTTAGATAATATTTTAGAAATAACAGTAAAAAATTCATACCATCATGTAAATAAACAAATTAATAAAGCTGGTATCATTTATCTTGCCATAGTGCAAAAATATTTTCATATGATTGAAGATATATGCCACTGTATACAACATAAGCATATCATATTCATATCTATATAGTGTGTTTTAGAGAAATTTTATTAATGTGTGGAATGTAGAATAAGATTGTTTCTAGTGCCACTTGACTTCAGACACTATACACCTTACAATGACCAGGCATATACCCACCACTCGTTTAGCAACCTTGCTTAGCAAATGGGGAAATCTATCTGCCAAATGCAACAGGAAGGTGTGTTTTTTTTAATGTCTATGTTGAAATCTAGAATTCTAAATTGTACAATTACTTCCAGTGGCCTCCCCTCAAGTAAACTAAACCTGGAATCTATCTATTAATTAGAGTAATTATTCCAATTACTGCCCATTCTATTACAATGGAACTTTAGCAGAAGTATCTCTTTGGGTACAAAATGAAGGACATGTATTATACTCTTTTTCTAATATTTACTACAGCCTTACAAGCATTAAAGCTCATAGCCCATTTTCTCAGTGATGGTAAAGAGACATTATCCTATTACACAGGTCTAATTGCCTTTGAGAGACATCCCAAGAACTAAAAATTGGGAAAGTATTATCATTGTCATTGTGCTCTGAGTTAAGTATCCAATGTGTGCTTTGTCTGTGGGTCTGTTTCTAGTGCCACAGCCCTCAACAGTAGCAATTAGATTGGATTATAATTGTGCAGTGGATATCTTAGTTTTGCATGCTTTTTTCATCAGATCATGCATTTGTATATTAACTAGAGGCCCAGCGCACAAAATTCACAGGTCCCTAGGCCTGGCCTGTGATCAGGGCCATCTTCCCCAGCTTCCTGCAGCTGGCCTCACCCCCTACCTCCACCCACCCCTGGTTCCCCAGTCGCCATCGGGTGATAGGTGCCTCACAGCTGGGGGAAGGGACCAAGAGGTAGGCTGTTCCCGCCTGCTCACCAGCCCTGCCCCTTCCGTGGGTGGCCATCAGGCAATCGGAGCCTGCCAGCTGGGGAAAGGGACCAGAGGTGGACAGTGAGCCTCATAGTGACTGGTCCAGCAGTCGTTCTGTCATTAGGGTCAATTTGCATATTACCCTTTTATTATATAGAAGAGAGGCCTGGTACACGGGTGGAGGCCAGCTGGCCTGCCCTGAAGGGGGCCCAGGGTTGGGGTGGGGGGTCACCACTGGGGCCTGGCCAGCCTGGGCGAGGGGTCAGGGGCAGTTTGCAGGCCAGCCATGCCCTGGTGTTGTCATGAAGGACATCCGGAAGACATCCGGTCTGTCTGGTCTAATTAGCATATTACCCTTTTATTAGTATAGATTATCTGATATCAGTGTGTTTGAATAAGCCCCAGAGCTATTTACACACTTATATTTTACTTTCTAGCTCTTTTGTCTATCACATATCTCACTGGAAGAACAGTGAATTATGTTCGACAAAGTAGCCTTCTTTTAGGGAAGGTGCATTTTAATTTGACATTAGACACAACCAGCTTTAAAAAATGTGATTGGCTTTTATTTCTTTGAAGATTTCTTTTGGAAATACACTTACCACAAAAATGTGCTCTGTGGGAATTTGACAAACTAGCTGATAATAGGATAAATCATTTTTAGTTTACAGAACAAAACAAAAGCTTCATTACTTTGCTGTTATTGTTTAATATGTCAAAAATAAACTGTAATTTTAGTTAGCTATGTGCATATAAGTCCAGATATTGTTTGATAAAATGAGCCAAGTGGGAAAACTTCCATTTCCTTCTGATGACATATCAAATATGCCCTTATCTCTAAATACATTAAAGATGAAGGAGTAAAGCCTTCCAACTGTGTTTTTCCAAATATCTTTAGCACTAATAGAAAAATTTAAATTATGACGTTTACTTTGCAGGAGCCAATGAGAAAGAAATAGTCCTAATGAATACTTTGACTGTTAATTTGCATCTTCTACTGGTAAGTTTCTTCTCCCATCAAGGTTTCGTAAACATTCATTTACAGAACCTGACATTTTTCTATCTTTAATTCATGAGCATCTGGTGATTTAGTTACTTAAAAATAAGTCGTGAGGCTATTTTCATTTTTAGCAGGAAATGCTGGACCCTGGTAAGCTTCTTCATACTTAGAGTTGACTCTTGCAAAGAGCTCTTTTCTCAGAAAATAAGGAATACGAGTCACAGTGGGTGAAAAGCAAAACCGCTTGCAAGCACACAAAACCATGACATACAAATGCGGGCAAACACTGAGCTTTATAGAAAGACAGTTTTTCAATATGCTGGACTTCAGCAGGGGGGATTATGGATCAGTATGGTTTTGTAGATTAATTTTTGGAAATAAGTTAAAAAAGAATGTGAAAATAAAACTAAATTGGAGAAAAGGGACCTAGTACCTGAAATGAGTTACTGTGTTTAAGGTGCTTCTTTTTTGTTAATCCTCACCCAAGGATATTTTTCCATTGACTTTTATAGAGAGAGTGGAAAGGAAGGGAGAAACAGAGAGAGAGGAAAACATCGATGTGAGAGAGACACATCGATTGGTTGCCTCTTGCACTCACCCGACCAGGGCTGGGAATCAAGCCTATAATCGAGCCTACAACCCAGGTACATGTCTTTGACTGGAATCGAACCCAGGACTCTTTAGTCCACGGGCAGACACTCTATGTACTCTAAACATTGAGCCAAACCGAAGTATTTAATAAATGTCAAATACATTCTTGATTTGAAATATGATGTCTATAGTACTTGCTTGATGTTTTGTAAATGTTTTTCATTTTTAAGTAAGTTTTTGTAATCATGTCTAAATGACTAAGATGCACAGTGAAGTCATTAATATTTTATTTTAGTAAAATGGAGACATAATTATTAAATATGACTGAAGGAACATGCTTATGGAGTATGCTAAGTATCATAGTAAAAAGCATAGTTTTAAGTTCAGACCTCCCTGGGTTGACTTCCAGCTAAGATACTTAATGCCTGTTTGAATTTGGATGTTTTTTGAGGTGTTTAAATCTTAATTTTCTCCTTTGCAAAAATGAGAATAATAATAGTTACCTTGTAGGAATGCATGAGTATGAAATGTGATACTATGGAAAATTGCTTTAGCACCCATGCCAATGATCAACACGTAATTAACAGTAGTGATCATTTTCATTGCTATTATTGTCAGCCTCATTCTCCATGAACTATGGGTCAACCAAAAAAAAGGGCCCCAGTGAATGAGTGAGCCACTTCTCCCTGCTGCCCCTGGGAATGCGAAATGTTTCACGTCAGGGCTAAAGGACTTTTGAATTGGACCTAAAATAAAGTCCCATAATATAGTAAAGCAGTGCAAATATTATGTACTAGAAACCAAATCACCAGAGGAAGATAAACCAATATAAATAAGACTGATATTTCAGTCTCACAATAGAGAAATTACCATTAAATGCATTAGGAAGATAATTTTTCAATTAAAGTTTAAATAAAGTCTGAGGATTTATACTTTCTGATTCACATTTTCTCCTGAATTTGCCAGTCTCTTCTTTCTCTTTATAATTCATTGGAAATGAGGCTAATTGGAAAGGTACCTTCGACAGACACCTACATGTGTAATTAATTAATGCCTTTTAAATGCTGGAGATTATAAAATGAAAGTGTAGTATAAACTAACCAAATGTGTAATTGTGCATTAATGCTTTTCTCAATAAATCCATTTCATTGCAGTTATCGTTTTTTAAGCCGACACCAAAACGGTACAAAATTCTTCTTGAAGCCAAAGCCTTCCCTTCAGATCATGTGAGATTCTTCAAATTATATTTATATTCTGTCTATTCTTCCTAGAGAAGCATATCATTTGCCTGACTTGAATGTTTATTCCCTAGTCTTTTTCTAAGTAAACTTAGAATAAAAAGATCTGTCAAATGCTTTTGATTTAGGCATTTTAAAAAATAAATTGTAGCTTTATTTCTTTTGTTCAAGTAAAACATGTGCTAGGGGAGGAAAGAATTGAACAGGAACATTGATTTATTAGTCTTTTCAAACAGCATTCAACAAACTGCTGGTCTAAATCAAGTGCCGTTATAAATGTTTTGTTAATTCTTGTTGCTCTTTTATTTTATAAAATTATACTGATATATATCCTAGTGCTTAATCCTTTGGCTACACAGAATAGTAACATAAAATTTTATTTGTCCATTTTTAAAGCATGCTAGCAAGTATTGAAAAAATTTTTATTAGAGATTTTTAAAAAATTTCCTGTGATTCACTAAAAAAGGCATGCTACTTTATCAGCAATTCCGCTGATAAGAAGTTAGATTGTTAGAGACACAGACACACATAAAAATATATTGCTCATTTCAGTTTTAGTCATAGAGAAACTCAAGTTTCGTCCTTATATTATCACTGTTAACTATTCTAGTCCACATCTTGTAACTTTAAATCCTTTAATTATGTCCACATTAATAGCATTACCATACTAAGAAGGATCAAAACCTTAATTAAGAGCTTGAAAAAATTCGGGGTCACTATTACTGCAACCCATTAAGATCTAGTAGTCTCACTGAAAGGAACTTTTATATATATATATATATATATATATATATTATTTTTTTTTTACTAGTTTACTTTCTCTAGGATGAGCCATTTGCATAGTCTCTGTTCAAGCCTAGCAAGTCCACACTATGCTTTGATTATATTTTAGAATTTTGACTTGCATTGGTGATTTACTTTCTTATTCTAAAAATCTCTTGTAACTCCCTGAAGTCTAGTTGACTCCTATGTTTCCATTTATCTCTATTATTTATGTTTCAAAGAATGTTCAGATTCCTGCCTACAAATTATATTAAGCAGTTCTTCTCTAATGTATTGTGTTTAGTCACTTTTAACCTTGACCTTTGATATAATAATGTACGTTTATTGCTATTTATTTATTTATTTTAGATTTTTTAATGGCTTTTATTTATTTATTTATTTTCTTTTTTAGAGAGAGAGAGAGAGAATGAGAGAGAGAGAGGAAGAGAGAGGGCAAGAGAGAGTGAAACATTGATGTGAGAGCAAACCAATGATCAGCTGCCTCTTGCATTCTTCCTGTGGAGGATTGAGCCCCAACCTAGGCATGTGCCAGGACAAGAAATCTTACTGGCAACCTTTTGAGTGTGTGGGAAAATGCCCAAAAAACAGCCACACTGGCCAGGGCTTATTATTTATTTTCAGAGTTATTTCAAGTACTTCTGTGCACTGTGATTTAATAAATTATCCTTATTTTTCAGTATGCTATTGAATCACAGCTTCAACTTCATGGACTCAACACTGAGAAAAGTATGCGGATTGTAAAGCCAAGAGAGGTATATGAGAAAGACAAATACATATTCATCATACTTCTATTTAGTATTGATTTTTTCTTTGTTTTATTTAGATGTTTACTATCTTCATTATCTTAATGGAACTTTCAAGAACGTTTAAAAAAACCTATAATTCAGTAACAGGTCATTTTGTTTAAAATGGGGGATTAAGTCAAGAGTATACTTATTTTCATTTTCCAAGGGCTGGTCATATTACAAGCAAAGTCTTTTACTATTAATAACACTGGAGTCTGCCATATTCTTCAGTGGGAGGGTGAAGATGGCAAATTGCATATATCATTTTCAATTTCAGATGCCATTGCCTGTGGATGCCATTAAAATCATATTAAAAACTAGTAATATTTTTTTGGAACTGAATGATGCCATCTTTTATGTCTCTTCTTATTCTAAGTATCAAATGTTTTCGTTTGAGCTTGGACTATGGTGTAGAAAGGGATGTGATAGAGTATTAAAAGCTTGTGCTTCATAAGTGGCTGATATACCCCTGAGCAATCCCAGACCCACCAACTTACTGGGTAAGGGACTTTGGGAAAGTTACTTTATCTCTCTGAGATCCCTTCATATTTAAGCAGGTAACAAAGGAAACACCTAATCAGACTTGACAATATGTGTAAGATCAGAAATAATGCACACTTTACATTAATAGAGATATAAGGCTACTAGTAAGTTGTAGAAACTTTGACATAGAGACCCTACGGCTTATGAAATTTCACACCACGATATCCACATAGAATAAATGTTAAGTTCACAAATGATGCTGCTAGTCTGTTTGAGCAATTATTTCTTTCGACAGAGAATACGTTGAGGAATTAAAATCTACTTCATTCACTTCTATTTGCCAGCATGCAATAAATTAAGGAAATGGAAGTTTCCACACCTGTGCGAGGATATTTTTTTCCCCATAGGTCATGTATAAATAGCTAATTTCCAACAAAAAGGAATATAGCCACTAATATATCACAAGTCTTGATGTTAAAAGTGACAAGTGTTATGAAGACTCATGAGGTAATCATAATCTTGGAGCACTCTTTAGCATTACTAGATTAGAGCAGTCAACATGAAAGATTTTCAACCTTTTTCACCTCATGGATCACATAAACTAGTTACTAGAACTAAAATTCTGTGGCACACCAAAAAATATACTTTTTGCCGATCTGACAAAAAAAATAGGTATAATTTTGATTCATTCACATCTGATGGCTATTGTTGTGTTGGATGTTGACTTTTTTTAATTTGACACAACGTCAGTGCCCCTGACTAAATAGCTGAGTGTTGCATGTCTAAAAATTCTTGCAGCACACCAATTAAAAATTATTGCCGTAGCTATCATTCATATATATATATGAATGATATATATATATACACACACATACACACATATATATTTCAGAAAGGGAGAGAGTGATAGAAACATCAATGATGAGAGAGAATCATCAATGTGTTGCCTTCTGCACAGACCTAGCACACAACCCAGGCATGTGCTCTGGCCAGGAATTGAACCTTGACCTCCTGGTTCATAGGTCGACACTCAACCACTGAGCCATATCAGCCAGGCCATATCCTATCTTTAACAAATATATTTATTTGCTTAATATTGATTCTTAAAAGAAATAATAAGTATTAGTATATAGAGTACTTTTCTTACTATTTTTTGAAATTCTGGTGGACAAACCATATTAGATTCCTTTAAGAAAAAGACATTTGGATTATTATATTATTCATTTTACTTAGAAGATTGTTTTAGAATTACTGAAACCCTTTTTATATATAAAGTACACATCACTAAAGAACTCAGAGATTTCAATATCAATACTATTTTTATAGATTTCCATTTTGTAAACAAATTCTAAGCTTCTAGTAAAAACTAGAGTATGTAATATATATATATATATATATTAGTATTTTGGCCTAACACAGGATTCAGTAATTAGCAAATAGCAAGAATTATTAAAAAATAACTGAAGGAAAACTTATGAATAATGAAAATCCCTGAAATCCTTCTAATATTAATATAATTAGTGATGCTTTCACCTCAAAATCATGTGAGATATAGCACTGGAGAATATTTCTGAAGATTTCATAAATAGATAAAAATAGTTATGATACAATTTGATACTTTGTATTTAGCAGATTTCTTTTTATTTTTTCGAGTTGTTTACAAGACCAAATCTAAATTCATGCACAATTTTCACTAAGTAACCAATCATTGGTCTTATGTGGGGAGACGTGCAGAAAATTACCTTAATAATTGAGTTTTACTGATATTTTTCATGTTTGGGTCTTGATGTTTAGACTGCTGTGGAGGAAATTTCACACTTAAGTTAGTAAAAGATAACAGTTAGGTTATATCCAGATGAAAGATGCATAAGTATTTTTATTCTATCAAAAATTCACAATATTAGATTGTTAAGTGAAATACTTATCTCTAAGAAATTTCTCTTCTTATGTAATATTTCATGGACTTGTACTTTCTGTATTTTATTGGCTGGGGATAAGAAGGAAACAAATTATAGGTATGCAAATAGCAACAATCAATTGGAAAATAAAGTAGGATTCTGCAAAAAAATTATACTTTATAAAACTTTTTTTTACTATGTTATCATTATTTAATAATAATAAAAATCATGCTCAAATGCCTCTCTCTTGCCAAATTTTGGAAGATCTTTAATTTGAAAAGAAAAAATACCTTTGACTTACTTATGGCGGGAAAGTGCTCATGGTGAATTTTAGATCTGGAACTATGAAGTGAGAAATTTATTATTGTGCCTTTAGGGGGAAGAAACCTTGAGAACAGAAGACATCCTTGAAGTAATTGAGAAGGAAGGAGACTCTATTGCAGTGATCCTGTTTAGTGGGGTGCATTATTATACTGGACAGCACTTTAATATGCCCGCCATCACAAAAGCCGGACAAGCAAAGGTATGCACATCATTTGCTCCTTCTCACAGCACCCCACACATCACCCTACTGACTGCACTTCTAGTGAAATATCTTTGTGTCTATGTAAAATTACTTAAAGAGTTTAAAAAAAAGAGAAAGCTTTACATTTAAAAAAACTTATAATCCTTTTTGCTTTAGGCATCTCCCTTTAAACCTCTTTTTATCACTTCTTTGATCTCACCTCCTTACTAGCATCTACTGTCCCAATGTTTACCTCTAGGCAGCAGCACAGGTGAGCTTCCTGCCAGTGATATCACCTGTACTGAGCTGCTCAGTCAACAAGAAGCAGACAGAATATTTAGGAGAGTAGCTACATGCTAAGGCCGTTTGTCACACTGTAACTCATTATAAATATACTTCAGTCTTGCTTAATCCTAGGTAGCTGAAAAGGACAGGTGCAGAATAATATTTTATCAGAAGATTGAGTTTTGCACAGTTCACATTAAGGAAGTCATTTTTATCCCTAAGAATCTTAAGAAATTACACCTACAATAAGAACTTTTTCTTAAGTATTACCAAATCACACTTACATTGTTTACCATTTTGAAATTGTGTCATTTTATATATGCTTTTGTAAAAAAGTTATTTTAATATATGTTTGCTTTAAAAAAAGAGACCAGAGAGGAGCAACACTCAACAGTTACAATTTGGATTTAAAATCCTTAAATATGTCTCTAGGCACTTCTTTCGAAAAGTGTCTTTTTAGGTACCTTGCCCATTTTTTTTATTGGATTGTTTATCTTCCTTTTGTTAAGTTGTAGGAGTTCCCTGTAAACGTTGGAGATTAAACCCTTATCGGAGATAACATTGGCAAATGTGTTCTCCCGTGCAGTGGGCTTTCTTGTTGTTTTGTTGATGGTTTCGTTTGCTGTGTAGAACCTTTTTATTTTGATGCAGTCCCATTTGTTTATTTTCTCCTTAGTTCCATTGTCCTAGGAGCTGTATTGGTAAAGATATTGCTATGACATATGTCTGCTATTTTGCTGCCTATAGCGTCTTCTAAGATTTTTATGGTTCCCCTCTTACATTTAAGTCCTTTATGCATTTTAAGTTTATTTTTGTGTATGGTGTAAGTTGGTGGTCTAGTTTCATTTTTTTGCATGTATCTGTCCAGTTTTCCCAACACCATTTATTGAAGAGACTGCCTTGCCTCCTTTGTCATCTACACAATGGAATATTACGCTGCTGTAAAAAATAAGGAATTCTTATCATTTGCAACAGCATGGATGGAACTGGAGAGCATTATGCTAAGAGAAATAAGCCAGTCAGAGAAAGATAAATATCACATGATCTCACTCATTTGTGGAATATAATGAACATCATAAACTGATGAACAAAAATAGGTATAGAGACAAAGAAGCATCGAACAGACAGTCAAACTTCAGCGAAAGGCAGAGGAGGGTTAAGGTGGGGTAAGAGATCAACCAAATGATTTGTATGCATGTATATAAGCACAACCAATGGACACAGACACTAGGGGGGTGAGGGCATGTGTGTGGGATGGGGTGGGGGGCTGGGGCGAGGTCAATAGGTGAAAAAGGAGACATATGTTCTACTGTGTGTAATAGTTTAAACAATAAAAAAACTATATAGAATAGGAAAAAAATCCTTAAATAGCAGTTCTATTTGATTCGGCAATGAAATAATGTATTTAAAAAGGTGACAATCAAGTTTTGTTCTGAACATTAATAAGTTATGGGATTAATCTATGTGTGAGGTCTAGTTAATATATTCAGTTATTGAAGCTAATGAATGGAACTAATGAAAAGAAATTTAGCACCGTTATCAGCAGTCTCTAGGAACTTCCAACCATGACTTCCAACTGGTTTGATAGATAACTGTGAAAGTGGTGCATTACAAAAGATATAAAGATAATGTCTTCTTAATTTAGATATTAAATGTTAAGCACCAAAATAAAGGGAGGCCAATAAAAATCATATTTTAAAATGTTATACCAGTAATCAGCAGTCCCTGAATCCCTCCGTATACACACACGTCTCATTAACCTTCATAGAAATGAGCATGAGACAGAGAAGAAAGACCATGGGTTTTGGAATCAATCACACAGTCTAAGGTTCGTCTTGGCTACATCATTTAATTGTTATATGATTTTAAGCAAATTACTTGCCTTTTCTGAGTCTCTGTTTTCAAAAGTGTTATTTTGAGATAACAAGACCCAGCTAATAAATTCAGTGTGGATATTGAAGAGGATAAAATATCTATTGGGTTGCACACTTTCTGCTGTTAAGGGATGGTCACCTCCCCCTCATAGGTCCTCAATATGAAGTTACAGAAAGTGGCTCAGAAATTCATTTTCTTTATTTCCCATTTAAAATAAAAATATATTTATTTACTTAGGTGTTATGTAATTCTCATTCTTCACTACTTTGGATGCTAAAACCATTCTCTCAGCATTTTGCATGCTTCTGTTCACTTAAACAATATCATAAGTGCCTACCAACTGAAGTTCTCTTGGAGTTTTCAGACAAATAAAGATATGAATGAGCAGTTTCATCTAAATGTAACCACAAAGAACTGATATACTAGTACTATGGGAGTTAAATGGTGATATAGCAGACTTAGATCCATTATAAAATTGTTCTAACAAACTTTTATACTCTTGCTATACAACTCCCCCCATCATCATCGGAGGTTGAGAAAAGTTCATTAAAATGTAGACAGACATAGCTCTCTTGGGTGGTCTATGAAGATAAAGCTGAAGGAGAGGCAGAGAGAATATTAAAGGTGTCAATCAAGAAAGAGATAGGAAATTATAGAAAAGGCTGTTAGGAGTGGCTCAGTGAGATAAAAAAAAGGAAAGTTTTCAGACATGAAGTATGGTTGGAAACAAAAATGATGTTGGATGGAGCAATAAAACAACAAGAGTATTTGGAAGTAGGAACTTTACATTTATGTAAAAGGAAAGTGACAGAAATTGTGAAGAACATGTTAATTAAATAAATACATGCATGGGAAAAAGAGAGAAATCATAAATGGCTTGATGAGTTATTTTGAATCCTGAAAACCATCACACCTACAGCAAAAAAATTCTAGAACATTTATAACACTCAGTATCTCCTATTGTGCCTTCTTCCAAATACTGCCTATTAGCTCTCTACCACTCTCCTGACTTCTAACAAAATGTGTACACACACTTTGAATAATTATTAATTCTAATGAGTTAAATCTGAAAATAAAGAAACATCAATTGAGCTATATCAGCTGTTTAAGTGTGTATACATTTTTGGGACACCCTGTATATTAGCTTTGTCCATCTTTGAACTTTATATAAAGATACATATATATCTAGATATAGATATATATAGATATACATATATATAGATATAGATTGATATAGATATAGATAGATACATATATATTTATAATATTACAATATGTATTACTTTGTGTCTGACATTTGATTACTATTACATTTGTAATATTTATTCATGTTACATGTAGTAGTAGTTTTATTTTTATTTCAGTGTATAATTACAGTGTATGAAATAGATCACTATTTCCAGCATAATCAGTATAGACATTTAGGTGTTTTTTTCCCCACTTGAGGGCTATTAAAATAAATGCTACTCTGAACATTCTTATAAATTTCTTTAGGTAAACATTCATACACATCTCTGTTAAATATGTAGCTAGAAGGGGAATTCTCAGAACATTAGGTATGTGTATGGTCATTTTTAATCAATAATGCTAATTTTCCAAAGGGTTGTATCAATCTGGCATATACATGAGAGTTTTTATTGCACACCATTCTTACCAAAAGCAGATCTGATTAGTTTTTAATAGCAGCACATTGTAGTTCTTTTAAAATTTTTTTAAATTAATGTATAATTGGCATAAAACATCCTACTCATTTCAGGAGTACATCATAGTGATTTTACATTTATATATGTTACAAAATGATCCCTATGATAAACCCAGTTATCATCTGTTGCCATACAAAGTTATTATAATATTACTAGAGGCCCAGTGAACAAAATCCATGCATGGGTGGGGTCCCTAGGCCTGACCAGTGATCAGGGCAAATTGGGGCCTTCCAGCTGCCAGCTGGGGCCTCCCTTCCCCAGCTGCCGGCTGCTGGCCAGGGCCTTCACTCATTCCATGCCACCCCCAGGTGGTCAGCGCACATCATAGTGAGCGATCGAACTCCTGGTCTCCTGGCTGAACTCCTGAGGGGACACTTTGCATATTAGACTTTTCTATATAGAGAAGATTGCTATATTTGTTATATAATACACACATGACTTATTATTTTATAACTGAATATTTGTACTTTTCCATTCCCTTCAACTATTTTACTACCCACCAACCTCTCTCCTCTCTGGTAACCACTAGTGTGTTTCCCGAATCTATGAGTCTGTTTAGATTTTGTTTATTCATTTATTTTGTTTTCTAGATTTTACATTTTAGTGAAATCATACAGTATTTGTCTTTCTCTGACTTACTTCTTTAGGTTCATCCATGCTGTCACAAATGGAAATATTTCATTCTTTTTTATGCCTGAGTAATATTAGATTGTATATATGTACCACATCTTGCTTACCCATTCATCAATAAATGGAAGCTTGGGTTGTTTCCATATCTTGGCTCTTTTAAATAATGTTTCAATGAACATAATTTATGATTTGGATTCAAGTGTTTTGGATTCTTTTGGTTAAATACCCACAAGAGGAATTGCTGGATCATATGGTAGTTGCATTTTTAATTTTTCGAATAAACTCCTTGCTATTTTCCATATTGGCTGTACCCTCTATATTTCCACCAACAGTATATGAAGAATCAAATTTCTCTACCAACACTTGTTTGTTTTGATTTTTTTTTATAACTGCCATTCTGACAGGTGATATCTCATTTTGGCAATTCCCTGATGATTAGTGATGGTGGTCATGTTTTCATATGCCTATTGGCCATCTGTCTGTCTTCTTTGGAAAAAAGGCTATTCAAGACCTCTACCCATTTAT